GGAGGATCTCAAGCAATGCGATGATGCGACGAAGGAGTGCTTCTGGGAGAAGATGCGTATGTCGCCACGTGTGTTTCGGGCGATGGCAATTGCATTCAGTGTGGACAAATGCCCGCGAGATACGCTGCCGATGTCGATTTCGACTGCAGTCTGTGTCCATCCCTCGCCTTTTCTGCTGGAGGCCTTCACTAGAGGTCGGCCATCAACGATAGAGGCGGCACACGTGGAACGGGAGGACCACGACAAGCAAAATTGTGACTAGGAGCAGCAGTGGCAACCTTCAATAAAGGTCAGCCATCAACAACACGTACGACAGGGGCGTAATTCTATGACGACGGTGAAGGTCCACCGAACGGTGGCGATAAAGGGAGCATACGGTAGAGGATAGCATATGGCACAAGCGCTCTAACAGTTCGTACGCCCTAGCACTGCGAGTCGGGTTGTGGCCTGCACACTGGCTTCTGGAGTGGTCAATTGAAGACCCGCTCTTCGCATGCCGACGCTGCCGCCCCTCCATGCTGACGTCCTTCTTCGCAGACCGCCTCTTACGTGTACATCCAGGCACCCTGCCGCGGATGCAGACGTGGAAGAAGACGACAAGGACAAGCAAAAGGATGACCAGGAGCAGCAGCGGCAGCCTTCGAAAGACGTCAGCCATGAAAGGCGAGTGGGGAAGGGCAGTAGCTAGACGACGATGATACACCTCCAGCAAACAGCGACGAAGAGGGCTGCAAACAGCAGACCGTAGCATGAGACGAACGCCTTGTAACGTTTTTCGTCGCAGAATACAGTGGGCAACCAGAGCAAGGGGGTTCGGCTGAAATATTCAATTTCGTTTGGCCGCACGCACTGCGAGGGAGAACACTGGTCGACGACGTCCACATGGGCCAGCCAGCCACCAGCGGTTACCGTTGGCGTAAGGTTCCTGGAAGCCGAATGTTGAAGACCCAAGATGTTTGTGCGTTGCCCAGTAGGAACTCCAATGGACCAGCCGGCGAAAATTTATTGTCGACAACGGGTGCCCTCGCCGCTCCGATTATCGCAGATCCTTGACCTCCAAGGGACCTCGGGCGCTCCCTTGGGGAATGCCACCAAATGGCTGTAGCCCGAGGACGTGCCAAGGATTCCCCAAGGAAATGCTTTCACTTTTTTTTTTCGTTTTCATCCCCACGGACACTTCTTTTTCGTTTTCATCCCCAAGGATGGGTGGAACGAAATTTTCGTCGGGGGGTTTACGCGCCCAAGGAGTGTCTAACGAGCCCCTTTATTGCCTTCGTTCATCTCATTCCATCCAGATTCGAATTCATGTTCCCTTTACTACAACAGTTACATGAGCCTCGCTGCGCCATGCGCATACACCTTTTTTTGGAGTCTGTTGAGTCCGTTGTCTTCTTCGCTATATCTATAAACAAATCCAAAAAGAAAAAAGAAAAAAAAGGCATCACTGCTTTCACACTTTCGTCGGACTTCCAACAACTTAATCAGGAGTGTTAAATGAACAATTCATTCAGCCACATGGGCCAAGCCGCGCCGTGCACATACACCTGTGCTTTTTTAATTAACAGGCAAAAAGTATTAACAGATTTGGGAACGAAAAACCCCATCCAAGATTTTCAGAAAGATTTGAATTTTCGGTTAGAAGGTTTAATTTCCGGCTTCTTTATACTTACCGTTTCTTTTTTTTTCCCTGACTTTTTAATCTTTGCTCCCGTAGCTATAGGCATCCCTCAAAAGCGGAACCCAAGGGAGCCCTAGAGGCTTAGGAGTAGTGGTAGGTAGATAGTGAAAGGCGAAATTGAGAGAAGAAAATTGCTTAACAAAAAAAAAAAAAAAAAGCGGACGCCAGGATAACGGACGAGGTTGTGCATGTATACGTATATAGATATAGATATAGATACAAATATATGTCTACTTTTGACCCATGACTATGGTATATAGGAAGGCATATATACTAAATGTATCTGGGCCTTTCAGAGGCCCGATACATTAAAAAGGTTCGATCAGTCCTAATGCATCTGGTCCACTGAGCAGTTCAGTTACTTTTCCAATGTTGACTGGTGGAGAGAGGCCCATGTTTGATGAACTGAAAGCAGAAAACTGGAAAAAGAAAATGGAAATGTTGACATTGAAAACTGGAAATACATTGAAAATGGAAACCGCGTAGGTGTGAATCTATAGTTTCACACATATATATTGTCACACTGTATATATATATATATATTGCCACACTGTAAATCAGAGCGCGAAGACGAAAAAAAAAAGCAAAACAAGGAAAGGAAAAGAAGAAAGGAAGGAAAGCCCCAACTGTCCATCACCTCTTATGTACAAGGCCAGCCACGTGGATGACAGGTTGAGCGCTGGCTGCCCCCATCCCCGTGTGTCACAAGGACCCACTTGCACGCAGCCAAAAGGCAAAGAGGTAAAGAAGAGGAGGAGGAAACCAAACCTGACAAGGAAAGAAAGTGTATCAGACAGACAAAGCAAACGACACATCCCACAGATAATCCAATTGTCACAAAGCAAATACCACATCCCATAGATCAACATATTTTTTCTTTTTGATATTTTCTTATTTCCTTTTTTCTCTTTTTTTCTTTTTTTCTTTTTTTCTCTTTAAGGGCCAGATCCCACTAGGCCCTATTGTTCATTTCTGACCGTTGATCTTCGTTATCAAAGGGTGAAAAATGAATAATCCAGGGTAGTGGGATCTGACCCTAACTGTCCCCACCTCGGCAGATAGGACAGCTACGGTGAGGATGATGTGGATGTTCACAAGGATACCCAAGGAGGGCTGCGCCAGCACAGCATTCATCAGGACGGCTAGTACAAACCATCCCATCAAAACAGTCCTGACAGAGGACATGTTGTTTACATGTCAAAAAACAGCAGGACGTTCATCACAGTGCGGCATCATGCAGTTCTGATAGTGTCCTGGGGCACAAAAGGGACAACGTATATCTGGGTGACAGGGATGTGTACAATGAGGAAATGTTGGACACCCTTCAGTACAGACGGCGGCAGTCGCAATAGATTGGTAATGGGTATGGCATAGATGATGCATTCCACAGCCAAGGCGGACCGCGTCTCTGTCCCGACAGGTGTCACCCGAGAGTCGGTCAACAATCCAGAATGAAGTACGATTCGACAATGCACCCAAAAATTCATTAACGTCAAAAATAGCTTGACTCATCGTCCCACCATCCCACAGTTCCCACTGGGCAGGTGCACGAACGAGTGCTGCCAGGCCAAACGTACAGAGGCCCCTAACCTGACCCCCGAACGTTCGGGCGTTCAGGTCCCCGTACAGGGCCCGAACCTGAAGGGAATCGGACCCCCCGAAAAAATATTTTGGCACATAAATATTATGATTTTTTTCTGATTTTTTTTTTTGGTTCTCTGTGATGTAAGGTATCTCCCTCTAAATTTTGAAGCCATTCTGCTCAGCCAAAAAAAAATGAAAAATCGGCACAGATGGTGGTGTCAAAACTTGCTTTCCCACTCACTAATTCGTTTTTTCTCTCTTTTCACTTTTCGTTTTTCCTTTATTTCGGGCCATAAAAAAATTATTACTTTTTCAAACTTCACTTGTAGTCTCTATTATGTAAGATTTTCATGGCATTTTTCACAGCCAAAAAAAAATGAAAAATCGCCAGAGATGTCCGTGTCAAAAACGTGCTTTTTCTAATTTTCATAATTATTACTTATTTTTAATATTTGATTTTTATTTCAAATTTGGTAAAGAATTTGGATGTAACGTTGAGGCAAATATTGTTAAGTTTAGTCTTCTGCATAACATATATTTTTGGAGATTGTTTGGAATTCGTTTCTTTTTTTTTTTTTTTTTTTCGGGTTCCTCCGCCGAACGTGTCCAGAGGGGGTGCCAAACGTTCGGGCGTTCAGTTTCGGGCGTTCAGGTTCAGGTTCGGGCGTTCGGCCCGCCCGGAACCCCGGCAACCCTGCATATTCAGATCGTCAAATGAGTATGAGAGCGCGAAGGTGAAGAAAACAGCAGAAAACAAGAAAATAATAATTCACTTTTTTATCTTCTTTGTACAACTCCCCCTGTTCAGAACCTTTTGTGTACAAGGCCGCCCACGTGGATGTAGGTTGAGAGGCGGCTGCCCCCACCCCCGTGTGTCATATCGACCCACTTGCACACAGCCAAAAGGCAAAGAGGCAAAGAAAGATGAAGGGAACATCCGAATATAAGAAAAAACAGGGGTAAACAAGCATAAACAGATCCTAGATGACAAGTCCCACATGCAAGCGTCACACCGTGTATCGGAGACAAAAAAAGGAACGAAGGAAGGAAAGCTCAAGCTCCTCCGCCTGTTCATCACCTCTTACGTACAAGGCCGGCCACGTGGATGATATACAGTATATACATGGATATCGTCACAGAGAACTGCCCGGTAAACCGTAGGCAGAGAGGGAGAAGAGGACAACAAACGAGGGGCTGTGACAAAAGTTTTCCTCGGAGTTTATATATATTGTCACACTGTGAATCGGAGCGCAAAGGCGAAAAAAGGCAAAACAAGGAAAGGACCTCGTTTGTTGTCCTCTTCTCTCTCTCTGCCTACGCTTTACCGGGCAGTTCTGTTTGTGACGATATATACGCAAAACAAGGAAAGGAAATATATATATATATATATATTGTCACAGGATATCAGAGCGCAAAAGCGAAAAAAATAAATAAAAAAACCAGAAAAGTGAAATCATTTTCTATCTTCTTTCTTGAACTCCCCCTGTTCAAAACCTCTTGCGTACAAGGCCGCCACATCGAACTGCGTGGCTACCGGACCAGCAAAAATCCACGGTTACAAAAAAATAATAATAATAATAATAATAATAATAATAAATAAATAATAAATAAAAATAAAATTCCACGGTTACTGATTTTGTTAACAGACGGCTTGATTTGGCCTCACCACATGGCGCACGAAACGGAACGAAAGGAAAAAACGACGGGAAAGATTGATGGGTTTACTATGAATGGTAACGAATGTATCTTGCCACCTTCGGTGGGCAGATGCACTCGTTCCTTTTGCCGTGCCGTGTGCCGAGTGGTCAGGTGCATTGTATCATTCGTCAGTCGATTCTTATCCATGGCTACAACCACCTCCTCCTCCTCCTCCTCCTCCTCCTCCTCCTCCTCTTGCTGCGGCAGCTGCTGTTCATCGTCGTCATTATCACCGGCATGGCCGTCGTCATAGAGATACTCATCATCAGCGTCGGCTTCTACTTCAATCAACATCACCCAAAATCACAATCAGCATTCTTAAACCCATCTTCACCACATCCACTTCTTCTCCTTCTCCTGCTCTTCTTATCCTCCTCCTCCTCCTCCTCCTCCTCTCTTCGACCTCTCTGCCTCCCTTCTCTCTTCTTCGTCTCCTCCTCCTCCTCCTCTCTTCGACCTCTCCGCCTCCTCCTCTCTTCGCCTTCTTCTCCTCCCCTCCTCTTCATATTCTCCTCCTCTGTGAGACCTCTTCATAAATTTCATCATCCTTCTTCTTCCTCCTCCTCCTCCTCCTCCTCCTCCTCCTCCTCATCGTCATCATCATCATCATCATCATACTCACCATCATCATTATCATCATCGATCACCATACTTCTTCCCTCCATCTTCTTTATCATTTGCTTGACCTTCATCTTCATAAACTTTCTACCACTACCAACCACAGAAACAAGAACAAATCGAAAACAGATAACCATCTCACCACCGCTAACGTTTACAACTGCCTCAGTTATATACCATAGGGGCCCGCGTGCCCTTTTACGCTTGGTCCACTGGATTTTTAAGGGCCACAAATCCGACGGTTGCTGCGCTTTTTCCAACATATATACCATCTCGACTTCTGGTTCACAAGCTCTAAGCTCTGGTGTGATCTCCTCAGCCATAGCCATACCACCCTGGAAAAAGGGACGGGATTTGAACACGGGACTTCTGGTTTGAATCCGCGAGATCTGAGCTCCGGTGTGATCTCCCAGCAAAACGCCCCACATCCGACCCTACTCCCTCCCCACTTCCCCCCCCCGCTTTCTCCCGTTTTGTTGGGAGAGAAAAAACTGCATAAACTGATGAGAGACCAATTTGGCAAAAAAATCTGGCCAAAAAATCAGACTGCCTGTACGCTCACAGTAATTACTACCGGGTAGTAAATACCAAAAGAGTCCTACTTCTCTATGCCAAGCTCCCATTCCGGAAATGCAATTCAACGACCCGAGCTTCCTCCAGACCCCCAGTCCCGCTTGCACTGGTTAAAAGGATAACAATCATAAATAACTACTCGGAGAAAAGAGGCCGTCATCTCCTTTATCCAACTATCTATCTATCTGTCTATCTCGGGGCGATTTGCGAAAATACCCCTGAAACTTCACGTGTATTCTAAAATACATTCTCTCTCTCTCTCTCTCTCTCTCTCTCTCTCTCTCTCTCTCTCTCTCTCTCTCTCTCTCTCTCTCTCACACACACACACACACACACACACAGAGGCAAGGAGAGGAGAGACTCGATAATGGTCAACTTCCGGTTACCGATAAGTGATAATCAACCTCTCTCTCTCTCTCTCTCCCTCTCTCTCTCTCTCTCTCACACACACACACACACACACACACACACACACAAGGAGAGGAGAGACTCAATAATGGTCGATTTCCGGGTATCAATAACTAATAACGCACCTATGGTAAGCATCCGTACGCGTAGTACCTCACCCCAAGAACTCACGCACAGAGACCAAACAAAAAAAAAAGCCAAAAAAAAGCAAAAAACTATAAACGTAAAATTGACCCCTCTTTACAAGACATACTACAAGGGAAAGGGGAAAAGAAAAATCTTGCGACAACGGGGAGGGGAAAACAAAAAAAAAGAAGTCCCGGACTAGAACATATACGGTACCTGTGGCGGGGTGGTGGTCCCACTCACCCAGGTTCTTCATTTCCGGCCGTTGACTTCGTAGCCGTTTCAGGGGCGAGGTCCCACAAGCACAGAGGATTGGATTAAAAGCCTGAATCTGGACGTGTTCGTGGACAGGTGCAGAAAATCGAGATCGAACTGCTTTTCTGCATCTCTGCTTAAAACCCGTCCAGATCCAATGCTCTTTTTGCTACCTGGCCCCAGAAACAGATTGGGAGCCTACACCGGCCCTCACAGTGACCTTCTTCGGAACCTTTTTTTTTTTTTTTCCTCTTTTTCTAAATACTACGTAATATAGCGATTGGGAGCCTACACCGGCCCTACAACGGTCAGATACAAAGAATCCAAGCGAGTGAGACTTTGTGCTGGGTGACGTCTAGGCCTTCTGGCCATTCCCCCCCCTCCCTCCCCTCCACCCCCACCCCCCGGAAACCAAAAGAAAAAAAAAAAGGCCTAAGAGCGGATACGGATGAGGAGGACAGGCAGGCCCTCTAAAATTCTCTGCGCGTTGCCAAGAGAGCCCCCTCCGAAAAGACTGTGGTCAAAACCGAAGAGCAGAGAGGGGGGGGGGGGAGGGGAGGGAAGGGGAGGAAAGAAGAACAAGTCACAAGAAGGAGAGAAAAATCGCCGCCGAAAAAAAAAACAAAAAAAACAAGTAAACGAAAAAAAGTCAAAATACGCGAGTCTCTAACCGAAGAGCTTCGAATACGAGWAAMAAGTCCAAAAAAAAAAAAAAAARAAAARAAAAGAGAAGTCACCCGCCGCAGGCGCTTGCAGCGGCGTCGGGGAACGAACGAGTGAGAGTGCGTGCACCTGAGTTTAAGAGAAAATGAAATGGGGAGGAGGGAGGACAGGGGTGAAGGGGAGGGCAAAGGAGAAGGGTGAAGGGGAGGGGGAAGGAGAGAGGTGAATGGGAGCGGGGGGGGATACAATTTGGAAAGCAGGGGGGGGGGGGGGGGGGGGGGGGACGAGTAATGTTTGGGAGATAGGCTCCGTGAAGACCCGCCGAGGAACGATGAGCCCGACGAGCGAGCTCGGCCCCCTGTGGGCGGCAGAGAAAGAAGGAGAAAGAATAGAAACAGTGGCAAGCAATGGCCAACTTGCTTTCTTTTTTTTTTTTTTTTAACAGAAAGGCTAATTCTTTAAGCCCAACCAATTCAATTCCTGTCGAATCTGGACAGGACGGCCTTTCAGTCCTTTTTATTGTCATTATAGTATTACAGGGACCCCCCCCGTAGCAGCCACATCGGATTCCGTGCTCAAGCCTCCAACGAGGGAACATGCGGGAGCTGCACCCACCAGCAGAGTGCGCATACACCATAGCTGCTAAAGCAGGTGGGCGATACCACCGGCCAGAGGTCAGCCGGTAGCATCAGGACCGGACTTCTTCGATGGGCCAGTCACTGTGCCTCCCCTCAGGTCCCCTGGAAAGAAAGGAAAAAAAAAAAAAAACAGAGAAACAACACAGCTCATCGTATTCACTCCTGAGCTAAGAACGCGCCTGGCCATACACAGAAAAGTCATGAAAACGCCGCCAGCACGGCCGTAACCAACGCTCAAATGCGTTGCCATGTGTCCTTCCTCCCCCGCTGCCACGTGTCCTTCCTTCCCCCCCCTAATCGTGTGAGGAATCAAGGACCATATGGAGCTGATTTGAATAACGAAAAGAAAAAAAAAGAACTGAGAACTAAATTGTAAGGGATGAGATGAGATGAATAGCAAGGTCGATCGCCAATCATCCATGCCTTGCACCGTTCTCAAAGATAAACCCCCTCCCCAAACGGCCATGGCTCAGCTTAAACGCGCACGAAATAAGATACTAATTTTATTTTAAAAAAATCCCGCATATATACACAAGAAAGAGCGATAATCAGCGGTAGAAGGTCGTGTTTCGTCACCATCATCCTCTACACCAATACACGTCATCATCGTCCTCCACTTAGCTTCGTTCTTCCATTTCTCTGCTCTTGTATGTCCTTGTCATCATCATCATCATCATCATCATCATCATCATCAACAACATAATCATCAGCAGCACCGACATGATTATCTTCCTCAGACCCATCATCATCATCATCATCATGACCATGACCATGACCGTCTTCATCAGTCTCATCATCATCATCATCATCATCATCATCATCGATGTTATCATCGTCATAGTCGCCGCACATTTCGTCATGTCCAAGGAACAACTCCCATCTTCTCAGTCATCACCCCTCCTTGCCTACTTCCCGCCATAATGCTCCATTTTCCCGCCAGAAGACTTCATTTTCCCGCCATAAGACTCCCTTTTCCGGCCACAATACTCCCCTTACTTTCCGTCTCATCTGTGTATCGGTTCACACCCGTCTTTCACCATCACCTCCTCTGCTCCTGCTATCACTCCAACGCACGGTCCATCACGATCCCGTTGCCACGTGTCCTTCCTTCCCCACCTCCCCCTTCCCACTCTCCTCTGTCCTCCACTTCCTTCTCCTCCTCTCCCTCCTCCACTTTATCCTCCTCTTCTTCATCCTCCTCTTCATCCTCACCTACCCCTTTCCCGCCTCCTCTTCATCCTCACTTACCCCTCTTCCCAATCCTGATTGATCTCGTCCGCACAACTCATGATCTCTGATTTCTTCCCTACGCCGCGCTGCCCATTAGCTCGCTGGCGGAGAACGAGAGAGATACGGACGGACAGATCTACACAGTCACGGATGCAAAGAGAGAGGATGACAGATGAGAGAAACACGGGCGGGCAGACACATCTACAAACGGCCAGAGGCCCGCGTTCAAAGATAGAGAAACGAATCGAGAAGAGACACAAAAAGGAGAGACGGAAGAACAGGAGGGACAGCAACACAACAGAGACGAGAAGTAAAAGACACACACACACACACACACACACACACACACACACACACACACACACACACACGCACGCACGCAGGCACATGTGCAGAGAGAGAGAGAGAGAGGGCCATAGGGAGAGGATACGGAGACAGAGATAAGGACAGAGAGAGACAGAGAGAGACAGAGATAGGCTGTCAATATCAGGAGCTCCCCGGAAAAGAGAGAGAGAGAGAGAAGGTTGAAAAAAAAAAAAAACAGAAAAGGAACGCGACTAAGTAACATCCCTGGAGCCGATTCCAAAGGACATCGGGATCGGGCGGTCACATCTGGCGAGCGGAGAGGAGCATATGTCCTCTTTCTCCTTCCCGCTCTCTGAGGTTCAGTAAGTCTTCTCCCCTTGATGTCCCGATATGAGGTCCAGACTTGAGGTCCTGATGTCCAGACTCGAGGTCGGGTATGTGGTGAAGGCGAGGTGACGGATTCGCAAAAGCAAAGAGAATGAGAAGAAAGGCAAGGGGGGGAAAAACAAACAAAGAGAAAGAAAAATAAAGGAAGTCAAGGAGAGGGTAGACAAAACGGTAAGAATAGATATCAGAAAGAAAGAAGCAAGAAGCATATGTAAGAAAGGATTAAAAAAAAATAAAAATATATATTAAAAAGGATTAAAACAAGGAAAGAAACGTAAACGCGGGATATGCGCGCCAGTAAGGAAGGAGGAGGTGTTGTAGGAGGAGATGGAGGGTGTAGAGAGTGGGGAGTAGCGGGAGGAGTAGGAAGGAGAGGGAGTAGGAGGGCGTAGGAGGGAGTAGGGAGAAGGAAGCAGGAAAGAAGGGAGGGAGGGAGATACTAACCTACCCTATCACTATCGCCCGGCTACGTTCCGGTCCAGGTTCATCCGTACCAAAGTCGATATTATCCCTGTCTCTTATACACATCTAGATGTGTATAAGAGACAGGAGTAGGAGGGCGTAGGAGGGAGTAGGGAGAAGGAAGCAGGAAAGAAGGGAGGGAGGGAGATACTAACCTACCCTATCACTATCGCCCGGCTACGTTCCGGTCCAGGTTCATCCGTACCAAAGTCGATATTATCCTCTCTCATTGGCGCGCAATGCAAAACCCCTCGCCACGTCAGCTTGTGCATTCACCCCCCCACCAGCCAGACTCTCGCCAACCCCACGTGCCGCACTCGCAACCCCCTCCACCAACTCTCCCTCCTTTTCTCCCTCCTTCCTCCCTCCCTCCCTCCCTAATGCCCCCCCCCAATCATTCCCTCATTCTTAAAGCCATCCTCATTCCCTCTCAGCTTGCCACGTCAGCAAGATGCCCCTTGGACTGCTGCCGGCTTAGTGAACTACCCCCGCTCCTCCCTCTCCTTCCCGCCAACCCTTCTTTCCCCCTCGACAACACGTGGCCGTCGTGCGTGGCTCCTTTTCCTCCTGCCTCCGACCTTCCTGGCTTCATCTGCGGACGCAATTGCGTTCGAGTCCCTCCGTTCCTCCACTCCTACTGCCGTATTGCCAACCTTGAGAGGTTTGAGACAATGCAGTGGAGTGCTGTTCTCGAGAGACTTAAAACAGTTCAGTGGAGAATGATGACTCCTGCTCAGTGCAACCTGTTTCTTGCTACTCTCCCGGGCTCGACCGGACAGGAATGCGAGGATGAGTAGATCTATCTACATAAATAATAAAATGGCTGACAGGCGACTGTCCGCACCTAACCGGAAAGGCAGAGAAAGGGGAGAAATTTGTCTTTTGTTGTTCCTTTGGAGGAGGGAGGGGGGAGGGCGGTGGAACCGGAAGGAATAAGATCAAGACAGGGGGCAAGGACAGAGAGAGCCCGTTTATTCTCATGTTGAACGAGAAAACTACCCCGAGGAAGATATGACGGAGGGTGTGTGCGGGGTGAGGGGGGACGCTTACCCAAGGTGGAGGGCAGTTTTGCATGGGTTTACGGAGGTGATGGTTTTTTTTTTTTTTTTTGTTCCTTATGAAAGCTGTTTTTTATTTTCATCTGGGGCCAGGTGCCCAAGGCCGTAGGAGGTGATGAGTTCCAAAGGCATAAGGATGGGTTTCAATCCTTAGGCCCAGGTGCCACTGGTGGCGCCAGGCCCGTACCCGAAAAGCACCGATGTAGCGGGAAAAAGGCCAGGTTCGTGCTAAAGGACCACAAAGATAGCACCAGTGTCTGGAAAGCACCGATCTAGCTGGAAAAGAGGGCAGGTTCATGCTAAGGGACCACGAAGATAGCACCAGTGGCCGACCTCTTATTGCCTGAGGGCCATGCCCCACTGGTGCTATGTTTGTGCTTGGAAAGCATCAACCTTGCCCTAAACATGGCCAGGGTCGTGCATTCATGGAATGGCTATAGAACCTGGGGCCAAGCCAGGGTCGTGCATTCATGGAATGGCTATAGAACCTGGGGCCAAGCCAGGGTCGTGCATTCATGGAATGGCTATAGAAACAGTGCACCTGGGGCCAAGTCCCACTTTCGCTTCGCTGGCGGTTGATCTTGCTAATAGAAGTTCGGGATTGAGAATTCAGGTAAGTGGGACTTGGCCCCTGGGCCCGTAGTACCTCAGGGCCAGGCCCAGCTGATGCTGTGTTCGTTTTTTTTCTTGTTTTTCCCCCCTTTTGGCTGTGGGGCTGCTCCATCTATTGGTAGGGAGGGGCACCTGCTGGAAACCGGGTCCAGCATCCCTTAGGTACATCTTTACGGTACAGTGCACCCAGTTCCATTGGTTCCTGGGGCTGTGGCCTTCACTCTGTCTACTATCTCAGAGCGCCCTCTTTCCAGTGGGGCTGCAGCTGATGCTGTGTCCTCGGTCGAAACACAGCCAAATGGGCTACATCCATACTTCCCTTTCTTTTTGGACTTGAATTACGGGGCCCGATTAAGGGCCTCGCCATACCTATTCTGAAAACGGGAAAATGTTCGAGAGCGCTCTCGAACTCGGGAAATAGCGAAAAACGGTTCGAGAGGCCTCATCACCGCACTGCACTCTCGAAGTTCGAGAGTGCAGTGTGGCGGTGCAAGGGCCTTGCTCCACTACTCACCAAATGTGCAAAATGAGAATGAATCTTCTGCTAGACCATGGAAAGATACACCGCCATATTTTGTCTTTTGTGCATGTGGTGAGTAGTGGACCGAGGCCTCGGTTCGAGAGTCTCTCGAACCAAACACGACAAAACGCTGGCCGCAGATGGTTGTCCGTCGCGGCACACTCTCGAAATTCGGGCCAAAATCGGAGGTGCCTTCGACCACTCTCGAAAGTGGCAACTTTGCAGGCCGGGCAAGGACCACAGTTAGCGAGCACTCCTGAAACCCGCGTTCAGGCCACTCTCGAAATTTTTTCTGACACCGATTTTTGAGAGTTGGTATGGCGATGAGTTTCCTCTCCAAATCGGTGTTTTCTGGATAGGTGTGGCCAGGCCCTAGACCGCCACCAGTACCTCCGCCAGCAGTGGTGGCGGGTAACACTCCTTGACGCGCTCGGATGAATAGGCCAGGGCTGGAGCGCCCAAATTCAGCCAAGTCGAAACGCTTCCACTTTAATTTTTCCCCCAGCTAATGTATGACTGAGGTACTGGTGGTTAAATTTTTCATTTTTTTTTTTTACTACACTATATTATTCTCACAAATTGGACAAAAAGAAAGGGGACGCCATGAGGGATGGTGCCCCCCGTCGCTCGTACCCACCTCGAGGGGACCTCAGTCGAAAGTGTACTTCGAGAGAGGATCTACCAGGGGCCGTGGATCAATCAATATATAGACTCAACAATTTGCCCATGCTTTGTTTCATGGGACGCTAGACCCCATTTCCAGCAGGCAGTGTTGTAAAAGGGACACTAGAACCATTTTCCAGCAGGTGCTGCTCCCCATCAATAGAGTGGAGCCACTCCTTGTGGCAGGGGCTCGTATCACCAACACTAGCAGTGCCAACTGGTGTTTACAAAAAAAAAAAAAAAAAAA